AAGCGTTGTCAAACTGCATCATTGTTTCTGCAGTGCAGATTCACCCATTACTAGTCTGTTGGCATAAAGTGGAAACAGAGACAGGATGCAAAAGAAGACTCTCCTTTCTATACTGTACAAGTGGGAGGGCTATTCTATATTTTTAAATAAGTCTATGGTTCCCCAAGGGCTCCTCGCCTCCTGATTGGCTGCTTCCTTTGGAATCCCTGGGACATTCGATCCTGCAGCCTGGGAGCCTTTTGCAGCCTTGCAAATTGCAAGCTGAAACCTGCAAGCTGCAATTGCTTGCAAACGGGTGGCTCCTAAAAACTCCTTTCCTTTTTAAACTCCAGGGCTGATCCTCCACCCAGGCAACTACTCTGCAACCCATCATCCCCTCCTCCTCCTCCATGCCTGGTCCTTTTGCCCTTCGAGGGATCCGCAGCACGGTGAGTTAAAGGGTTGGGTAGGAGGCATGCAAAAACTCTTGGGTCTGCATTGTAGAAATAATGCAGTTTGACACCACTGAGTGCTTTGGCTCCTTCCTGTGGAACCCTGGGATTTGTAGTTTTGCAAGGACTTCTTTAGCCTTCTCTTGTCCAACAGTGCTCTGTGTGTGTGTGTGTGTGTGTGTTCTTTGCAAAACTACAAATCCCAGGGTTCTGTAAGACTCCGCCCTGGGTGCATCTGCACCGTAGAAGTAATGCAGTTTAGGCACCACTTTGAGTGCTGGAGCTCCATATTATGCAGTTTTGGGATTTGTAGTTTTGCAAGGACTTTAGCCTTCTCTTGTTTCCCTATGTTTCCCTATGGGCAAGTATTCCCCTATATTTTGCTTTGCTTTGTCCAACAGTGCTGGGGGAGGGAGTGTTGCAAAACTACAAATCCCAGGGTTCTGGAGGATTCAGGCCTGGGTGCATCTGCACTGTAGAAGTAATGCAGTTTGACACCACTTTGGTAGTTTTACATGGGTCTTGAGTCTTCTCTGCCCAAGGGTGCTGGTGGTTCCTTGCCAAACTACAGATCCCAGTGTTCTGGAGGTTTCAGCCCTGGGTGCATCTACATTGCAGAAAGAATGCATTTTGAGACCACTTTTAAGTAATGTAACTCCTGGGATTGGTAGTTTTACATGGGTCTTGAGCCTTTTCTGCCCAAGGGTGCTGGGGGTTCCTCCTTGCCAAACTACAAATCCCAGGGTTCTGGAGGATTCAGGCCTGGGAGCTTCTGCACTGCAGAAATAATGCATTTTGAGACCACTTTTAAGTGGTGTAACTCCATCCCTATGGAACGCTGGGGTTTGTAGTTTTACAAGGATTTTATCTTTCTCTGCCCAAGAGTGCTGGGGGTTCCTCTTTGCCAAACTACAAATCCCAGGGTTCTGGAGGATTCAGCCTTGGGTGCATCTGCGCTGTAGAAGTAATGCAGTTTGACACCACGTTTGTTGTAGGGACCATGGGATTGGTAGCTTTACAAGATCTTGAGCCTTCTCTGCCAAAAATTGCTGGTGGTACCTCGCAAAACTAGAAATCCCAGAGTTCTGTAGGATTCAGCTCTGGTTACGTCTGAATTATAGATGTAATGCAGTTTGACACTACTTTTGTTGTAGCTCCATCTTGTGAAATCCTGGGATTGGTAGTTTTACAAGGACTCTAGCCTTCTCTGCCCAAGGGTGGTGTCTCCCCAAAACTACAAATCCCAGTGTTTTCCGTCAGATGGAGCCGCAGCAGTTAAAGTGGTGTCAGACTGCATTATTTCTACAGTGTAGATGCACCCACAGACACCCTGGACAAACTGCATTTTCCCCTGATCTTGACACCCTCCTCCTCCAGATGTGTTGGGCATCATGTCCCATCATCCCTGGCATGGTGCCTGGGGCGATGGGACTTAGAGTCCGGCACATTTGGAGGGCAGGGAAAGGAAAAGAATCCCCTTATGTTGGCTGTAGCATCCATAGGGGATGTACTAAAACAAATAACAGTACTTTCCAATGTTTCCCTATGGGCAAGTATTCCCCTATATTTCCCT